GCCGAGGGCCCAGGCCTGGCCAGGGGCCGCTGCGTGCGCTGGGGTCCCCGCGAGCGCCGGGCCCTCTTCCTGCAGGCCACGCCTCACGGGGACATCAGTCGCCGCGTGGCCGCTTTCCGCTTTGAGCTGCCGAGGACAGGCATCCCAAACTGCCCCCGCAGGCCCAGGGGCCCGGGGTGGACGGTGAGCCACAGTCTCGGTGGCCACGGGGTGGCCACGTGAAGTCACACCCAGCCCGGGCTTGGCAGAAGTGTCTTGTTGCCCTCACTGCACAGAGGGAAATTTTGAGGCCCAATTGTTGCGCGGGCTTGCCAAAGGCTATTCAGCTAGGGGGTGGCAGTGCCAAGACAGGTCCAGGGGGTAGGGGTGGGATGGCCTTTCCCTCCCCTCTCCCCCGGTTCATCTTGGAGAAAGCTGGCAGGGCAGAATAGAGGGAAGGGAAGGCTAGGCAGGAGAGCCTTGGACCTCTGGTCCCTGAAGGGCTAGGGGAAGAGGTGGCGAGGGCAGAATCAAAGGCTCTGGCCAAATCTGTCCAGGGCTCCCTGGCCGGTGTGTGTGTGTGTGTGTGTGTGTGTGTGTGTGTGTGTGTGTGTCCTCTCTCCCCTCCCCCAGCCCAACCAACAAAAGTCCAGTGTGCAGTCTGGTCACCATGGAGACGCCACCTTACCTCCTGCAGGGCACCAGGCCCGGCTTTGCTCTCCTGGAGTTTGGAACCTGACCCTGCAGTGGATGGGCTGGCAGGGCTCTGTCCTGGCTGGGGCGAGGGACCAGGGACCTCAGAGTCCCCACAACCTCCCATCCCTAGCTGGGTGGGGACCACAGAGGGTTCCCAGGAGCAGGTTTGCCATGTCAGAAGGGTGTGCAGGAGTGTGTGCTGAGACTTGCGAGTGCTGGTGCAGCTCCAGGCCCTGCATGCATGCCTGTCCTGTGGGCACGCACCTGCAAGTATGTACCAAGTGCAGGTGTCCTCAGGGGTGTCCCAGGTGCCACCAGGCTGCAGGCTGCTCGCCCTCTCCCTCCTGCCACCTGTTGGGACGAGGTCTGGGGGTGCTAGAGGAGGGCAGGGCGGTGCTTACCACCTCCCACATGCCAGGTGCCTTCAGGCCTTGCAACGACACTGAGCTGCTCTTGGCTGCATGCACCAGTGACTTTGGTGAGTGTCCCTGCCATGGGAGGAGCCTGAGCCTGCTCTCCCTGAATGCCTAGCCTGGTCAATGTCTCCCCACGGTAATTAATGGAACAATCCATGGGATCACCCATGACATGGAGCTGCAGGAGTCTGTCATCACCGTGGTGGCCACCTGTGTTCTCCACCAGACTATGCCACTGTTCCAGCTGGGGAGCCCTGGGGTCTGGGCGCATGCCTCCCTCCGTACTCCGCTGACCTGTGGCGTCCGCCCTGGCCCAGGAGCCTTCCTTTCATGGGCTGGGGCTGCTTTGGTGAGGCCTGGCTGGGCTGTGCCCCCCGATTCCAAGAGTTCAGCCATGCCTGTGAGGCTGCCCACACTGCCCATCTCCACCCCTGCGAGGTGGCACTGCACTGAGGGGCCTGGGTGCTGGGAGGGATTGGTAGGAGGGTGGGGGGAGGGGTCCCCGGATGGCAACTTGGTGCCAGCGTTTCTGAGGTGGGAGGGATTGTCAATAAGAACGTGGGTTTTGAGCCATGTAGTCTGCTCTCCTGCATCAGCCCAGCCCTGGGCCCTCCCCTTATCACTATATCCTTCCGTGGCTGGGAGGACCACTCTGAGTCCCACCGCATGGGGAGACTGAGGCTGGGCATTGGGAAGGCAGATTTGGTGATCGACACCTACATCCCGGGGAGGGGCTCCTGGGTGGAGGCATGCAGGGACCTCCCCCTCCCCAGGAACCTCGGCTCTGCTGCGCCTGCCTGCCTTGTCCCAGCCCGGCTTCACCCGCTGCCTGGCCCACTCCCTGGCTCCTATTTCCCTCTGATACGGGGCTCAGCAGAAGTGCAAAAGGGCCTTGATGCTCAGGCCCGCAGCGGGTAGGGTACCTCAGGTGGGGTGGGGTCAGCAGCAGACCGAGCATCCCAGTTCTGAGCTGGCCTCAAGGGCAGGGCTGCGATCTGGCAGGGTGCTGACTTCCCTATGGTCACTGTGAGTCCGCAGAGCCGTCCTGTCCTGTCCCACCCTTGGGGAAGAATGTGCCCCTCTGTCCACAAGCCCCTGGATGTGTTGCATATACAGACGTGGTTCGGGGCCCACAGGATGTGGGATCTTCTCTGCAGGGTCCCGCTTGTTCCCTGTTTCGGCGGGAGGGTGTACCATGGGGTCTCTAAGGCCCGTTTCCCGCCACTGAGCCCATTGTTGCTGTCTCCGCCTTCCTCCTTGGCCTTTCAGCCGCATGAAGGGCCAGTGAGGTCCCAGACAGACAAAGCCCTGAAGCCAATAATCCCGGTGTGGGGTGTGTGCAAGGCCCCAGCCCTGTGCGGGCTGATATTCCTCACCCCTACACGCCTGCTCCTGGGAAAGAGCTGCAGCTCCAAGTTGGGGACCTCTGGGCTGAGCCCCAGAAAGCCTTTCCATCCTGGGCCAGGTGGGAGCGGAGGCCAGAGACCTTGCCCGACCCTCACCTTTCAGGCAGAAACCAAGGCTGGGAGAGGGACAGGGCTGTTCAGGGCCCACCAAAAAGGTTCTTCTTTCAGATTCAGCCGACACAGGCACCTGGGGATGAGTGCCAGGAGTGTACTGGGGTGGGAGGAAACACCTTCAGCCTGCCCTTGAACAGCAGTGGTTGTCGCAAAGTTGCATACACAAAGGCACCTTCGCCCTGGCATAGGCTGGTGGGGAGCAGAGGCGGGAGCATCGCTGCTGCAGGGTGGCACCTCCAGTTTCCCCTCCCCCAACCCTCCTCAGGCTCCCTACTCCTGACCTCAGAGCACTTGGGGCACAGACAGTGGATCTCTCTTCCTCTCCAGTAACACCTGGATGATCTTTCTGTCTTCAGTCTGTCCACTCCCTGAACTCCAGGCCCTTACAGCCCTGCCTGACTCCCTAACATCACAAAGACCAGAAAAGGAAGAGCCAGTGTGCCCCCTGCTCCTCCTCTCCTACCTCTGAGAGGCTTTTCTGCTGCCCAGATGGGTCCCCCCAGGATGGGTCCCCCAGGATGGCTTCTGCCAGCTGGACAGCACCCTCACTTGGGGCCCCTGCTCTGATCTTCCAGCCAGCTCTCCACAGCCTCTCCTATCAGCCACCGCTGTGGCCATGGAATGCCTCCCAATCTCTGTTCACACATGCTGGGCAGTGCCCTGGATGCACCCCAGCCTCTGCTCACCCACCCAGGAGGCGCCTGAGCCTCCCACTCACAGAGAAAGCACTGGCTTTACAACCAGTATTCCCTTCATAAGACACAGAAAGGGCAGAAGCAGGGCCACAGGACCCTGCAGTGCTCCAGGGTGGGCTTCAGGGGGGCTGGGCGGGGCTCCATGCCTGCCCTGGGAACAAGTGGCCAGGCCAAAGAAGCAGGAGGGGAGACGGTGAGGGCTGGTGTGGCTGAGCCCATGGGTGGGAGGATGGGAGCTGGCTGGGGTTCCCTACAGGCCAGTTTTCCAGGAGTGCCCACAGGTGAGGCAGAGTGCTGGGTGTATGAGAGAGGAGTGGGTGTGCTTGCTGGAAAGTCCAGTTAGATGCATTCATTCAAGCTTTTTTTGAGTGCCTCCTAGGTGTTAGGAACCAAGAGAAATGCAGCACAGGAATGTGCTATGTGAGCACCCCACCCTGCACAGTGCACGCCCTCCTTTTCCAAGGAGGACTCCTTGCTCTGGCACAGGAGACTGGTCATCCCTCCACAGCATATCGGGGCTGGAGCCAATGTGTGGGCAGGCGTGTACAACACTCCATACTTCAGCCGTGGGGACAGTGAGCTCAGGCATCCCCATGTTGTCTGGAAGCAGCCTTTGTCCCTACCGGGGCTCCTGGCAGGGGACACAGATGGCTCAGACAAGCTCCAAAGTTCACTGTGGTGGAGGAGGTTGAGACCCAGCTTCCTGGCCCGAGGTTCTGTCTGTTCATTTTCCTTCCCACCCCAAGGCTTGATGAGACCACCTCCTGTAACTCCTCAATCGTTTTGTTTTCTGGAGAAGGAAGGTGATCCCCTCAGCTCCTGGGCTCTCTCTTCCGCCCCTCCAGCTGGGCCAGCTGCCAGAGGCCCACCTGTCATACCTGCCTCTCCTCCTGCCACCCGTGCGGGAGCCAGC